TGGTGGCCGCCGAGCCCCCTCCCCGCCCGTGCGGCCCCGAAGGTCGGGGCGGGTGGGGTGGGATGGGATGGGGGCACCCCCGTCCTGGGTGGGGGCACCCCCGTCCTGGGTGGGGTCTCACGGCAGCTCCGTCCCCGCCGGGGTGCTGCTCACCCATCCCTGACAGTTTTGGGGTGTCTCTCCTCCAACACCATTACCCCGGGGTGCTGCTCACCCATCCCTGACACCCTTAGGGCGCTGCTCCCCCCAAACCCCAGAACCCGCGGGTGCCTCTGCCCCCGTCACCAGCACCCCCGCAGTGCCTGTGCCCCCAGCCCTGTCGCCCTTGGGGTGCTGCTCACCCCATCCCTGACACCCCTGGGAGGTCCCATGGTGCCACTTGGCCCCTTCCTGTCCCCCCCAGGACTGTCCTGGTGCAGGTGGCCTCACTCCTGTCACCCCAGAGTCCTGTCACCCCGGGGTCCTGTCACACGAGGGTCCTGTCACCCCAGAGCCCTGTCACCCCGGGATGCCTCATCCCAGGGTTTTGCTCGTTCCAGGGACCTGCTCATCCCAGCCCCATCTTCCCTGGGGTGTCCTGCTGTGGGGTTGGGATCTGCTGTGGGGCCAAGATCTGCTGTGGGGTCAGGATCTGCTGTGGGGCCAGGATCTGCTGTGGGGTCAGGATCTGCTGTGGGGTTGGGTTCTGCTGTGGGGCCGGGATCTGCTGTGGGGCCGGGATCTGCTGTGGGGCCAGGATCTGCTGTGGGGTTGGGTTCTGCTGCGGGGCCGGGCTGTGCCCGTGTCACACCCATCTCACTGAGCACCCTGGCACACGCTCAGGGAGTTTTTCCTCCTCCGGGTTTTTCCTGCTCTCTGATTTCCCGGAATGGGAGACCGGAGGGGAAAGGAAAACGGGGCTGAGCCGATGGATTGTGATCCCTGCCAGGATCCCTGCCAGGATCCCTGCCAGGACCCAGCAGTGCCAGCGGGGATTCAGCACCCAGCCACCCCTGGATGTCACTGGGGGCTCCCAAAATCCCTTTTGTGCCAGCCTGCAGCACCCAGCACTCCCAGAGTTCAGCTCCCGAGTGCCACATCCCGAACTCTGGAGTTTTCCAGGCACCCTGCTCCCACCAGAGCCACCAGGGCTGGCAGCACCCGCTGTGCCCAGCGCCCAGCTGTGCCACGAGCCGGGCAGCATCCAAGGCCGGAAAACAAAGTCCCGCTGTGTGTGCTGCACCAACAAGGTCATGTTTTGTCTCCGGCCTCCCTCCCTCCCCCCGGCACAGCGGCTCACCCCCGGCAGAGCGAAATCGCTGTTAATTAAAACAGGCGGCATCTTCCTGATTGACTTTTGGGTGCCAGTTGATCAAAAGGCCTTGGCTGGCTGCCGGGCTGGCCCTGAGGGCCGGAGCGTCCCGAGCAGCCGCGGGAGCCGGGCAGGGTGTTCCCTGCTGGAAAACACAGTTCCAGGGGGGTTCTGGCCTTTGGGATTAGTGTGGGCACGCGGTGTTGGCTCCCAGTCCCAGCTCCAGGCTGGTGTTCCCAGCTGGGGAGGAAATTCTGGCTGGGGAGCCCTTCCCAATGTCCCAGCAGCCGTTCAGCCCAGGGAAACACCCACGGAGAATCCACACTTCTCTTCCCACCGTCACTTCATCCTGGAATGCAAACAGGCCTTGTGCTGCTGTGCCATCCCATCCCATCCCATCCCATCCCATCCCATCCCATCCCATCCCATCCCATCCCATCCCATCCCATCCCATCCCACCCCATCCCTCCCCTCCCATTGATCCCACCCCATCCCATGGATCCCATCCCGTGGATCCCACCCCATGGATCCCACCCCACCCCTGCCCTGCCGGGGAGCTGAGCGGGGCAGGAGTTGCTCGGGGGGCTTTGGAAGGGGCAGGAATTTGCGGGATCCCCGCAGACGGGCAGCTTAGGGTCCGGCTGCTCCCCCAGCAGATGGACAGGCAGACAAATCTCTGCCCGGGGGGACGCCGGGTCCTTGCGGATGTTGTTTTCCACTTTCCAGACCTACTTAAGCCGCGGCTGCTGATTAATTTATTGGGTGCTAAGCGCTGGGAGGCTGCGGGGCAGAGCAGCGAGCTCAGAGGGGCGGGAGGGAGCGGCCCCAGCGCCGCGTCCTGCCCCGCATTCCCCCGGCCCTGAACGAGGATTTCGGGCAATTATTTATTCCTGGACCCGGATCATCCTCTCCGGATTTTATCCCGAGTTAAAGGGACCCAGCCACGGCGACCGACAGCGCTGGGAACAAAACCAGAGGGATTTCCACATCGATTTATAAATAGCGAGGGAATGAGCTAATTCGATTTCTCCGGGGAGGGAATTCCAGCAGGGAGAGCTGGGCTGGGTGGATGGGAAGGGATGGGGAGAGCCCTTGGGGACAGCCCAGAGCTGCTTTAGGGTCTGGGGGCTGCTCCTGTAGGGTCTGGGGGCTGCTCCTGTGGGGTCTGGGGAATTGGGAATGCTCCTGTAGGGTCTGGGGGCTGTTTCTTTAGGGTCTGGAGAATTGGGAATGCTCCTGTAGGGTCTGGGGGCTGTTCCTTTAGGGTGGGGGGGGGCTGCTCCTGTAGGGTCTGGGGAATTGGGAATGCTCCTGTAGGGTCTGGGGGCTGCTCCTGTAGGGTCTGGGGGCTGCTCCTGTAGGATCTGGGGTCTGCAGACTTTGACCTTCCCAGGACATGGAAACCCACCTGGGATGCTCCGGATGCGCATCCCGTGGGGGCTTCAGGGTGAAGGGGCTGAGCTCCCTCAGCTGCAGAGGAAAATCCTCGGTGCTGGGGGATTCCTGGTGGGAACAGGGGCCAGCAGGAGGAGCAGGGAATCTCTCCCCTGCCCCAGGAAGGAGCCGGGCACAGCTCGTGGTACCGAGTGACCTCTGAGGCACACCTGGGCCTCCCGGAGCAAGCAAAGCTCTCCTGGGAGCTCAGCAGCCCCCAGCACCAGTGTCCCCAAATCCTTCCTGGCCCGGGCAGGGCTCCAGCCCGGGAGAGGCTCTGACTTCCCATAGAAACCATGAAAGGGCCCCTTCTTGTGTTTGCCAGAGCCCCGCCACTTTTGGCTCTGAAGATCCCATGGCAACCGGCGCCTTCTGCAACTGCGCTCGCTATTCCTGGGCTGCTTCTTCCCCCTCCTGCGGGATCATCCCGAGGGATCAGCCCCAGCCCTGGGGCCTTTCCCAGCCCCTCACCCCCTTCCCCGCTCTGCCGAGGTGCTGAGGGTCGGGGAGGAGGGAGGAATCTGCTCCGTGTCTGATCCTGGAGCGCTTCCTTGGCCTCAGGAGCTGGGAGGCCAGGCCCAAAGTCAAACCCCTCCAGCCTCACCCTCAGGCCACCCCAGGGTGGCACTGGGGACGCCGTGTGACACGGAGTTTTGGCATTTTGGGATCAGCACCCCCCATGGTGTGACACGGAGTTTTGGCATTTTGGGCTCAGCACCCCCCATGGTGTGACACGGAGTTTTGGCATTTTGGGCTCAGCACCCCCCATGGTGTGACACGGAGTTTTGGAATTTTGGGCTCAGCACTCTCCCATGGTGTCACACGGAGTTTTGGCATTTTGGGATCAGCACCCCCCATGGTGTCACACGGAGTTTTGGCATTTTGGGATCAGCACCCCCCCATGGCCTTTCCCAGCCTGTGGATCCCGCCCGGCACAGAACGGGAGCCCCCACAAGGTCCCGGCCCGGGCATCCCCCTCTGCTCGTCCCTCGCTCCTTATCTCCTGTCCGCTCCTTATCTCGTGTCCCGGCTGATAAAGGGCGGCCTGACCCTGAGCCGCCGGCTGGGAGCAGCCTGCGGAAAAGAGGGAATGCAGCGGGAATGGAGCATCCAGCCGGAAAAGTGGGAATGCAGCATCCAGCTGGAAAAGTGGGAATGCAGCGGGAATGCAGCAGGAACGCAGCATCCAGCCGGAAAAGCGGGAATGCAGCAGGAATGCAGCACCCAGCTGGAAAAACAGGAATGCAGCACCCAGCTGGAAAAGTGGGAATGCAGCATCCAGCTGGAAAAGCGGGAATGCAGTGGGAATGCAGTGGGAACGCTGCGGGAATGCAGCATCCAGCCAGAAAAGCGGGAATGCAGCGGGAATGCAGCACCCAGCTAGAAAAGTGGGAATGCAGCATTCAGCTGGAAAAGCGGGAACGCAACACCCAGCCGGAAAAGCAGGAATGCAGCATCCAGCCGGAACACCGGGAATGCAG